AAACAACCTCTATACAACGAAAGGAGACTGCGACCACAAAAAAGGCCACACCATCTTGGTCTTCATACCTACGATTATTCAATACTGACTAATGCGATAAACTAACTACTACTATCAAATTCATATGGACAGCTACGATATCTTCAGTAATTCCTGATTTATAGCCAAATCAGCCTAGCTCGCCTTAGGTTATGCTAAGAGTGGTGGTTGAGCTATTCGTACAATCAAATAAGTAGGCCTCAGGATGCCTCCCAAAAGTGTATCTTATTGAGGACTGCGTGTAGTTTCGACTTCTTCCAGGTTTAATCAGCGCCTTCAGTCAGCTCTGAATCAGATAAGCTTGTGGGAGGTGAAATTCAATGGAATCCCGAGGTTTACCCATCTAATTGAGAAAAAACGTATTCATCACGTTTTAGATATCCTTAAATGGGCAGAGCCAACTAGATTCTTATTCAGGAATTACTGAAGCTATTGTAACTGTTTACATTATCTTAATAGTAGTATTTGCCTTATCGCATTAGTCAGTAATGGATAGTAATGAATAATGTACTACTACTAATAATTATACTACTAATACTACTACTAATAATGCTACTACTAATAATAATTAATGATAGCATTCGTCAGTTTACATTTCGTAAAGTTTGGGAAAAACGGATAATTGAATGTCTCAAATTGCCTTGCAAAGCAGGCATAACCTCGCCCTGCTGCCATCATCATCTCCAACGGAAATGGAAACTGGATCGTGCCTGCCAAGAGGCAAGATATCACCCCGCCATTCTGCCACACCGCCATGGGTACTGGTGCGCCAGAGTATTTAAAGCATGCAAGACTGACTTTCTGATGCTTAGAGAGAATTCTGCTAATCTCAATTGATGAATAGAAAGATAAATTTAGAAAGGTCCTGGTTACCAGACCAGAGAGATGAAGGCTTAAAAGAAAATGGCTCAGACTGGCTGTCAGGCCGACAGATGGACAGTTGGTCAGTCGGGCAACAGTTGAACATTTGAACAGTCGGGCTGTCAGGCGGTAAGTTAGACATTTGGCAGCTGAGCAGTCACACAGTCGGTTGGTCGGGCAGTCGGGCGGGCAATTAGATTGATACTTGATCTGCCGTTGCTGCCTTTCGAAGTGGCAGATCTCCCTTTTCCCCCGACCAGTTGGGCCTTGCTGTTGCCGGTACCGGCCCATTTGTTGGCTATTGCACATGCCCTTCGCGACGCCGATCGGGGTAGCCTCTCCTGATCTGCCGACGTGTCTCTTTTAGCTAACAGGCGGGCAAACAGGCGGACATTAAGACAGACGGCCAGGCAAGCATGATCTTGATCGTATACCCATCCTTGGGATCCTCTCTCTTTGGCTTTCTAATCCAGGCTTGTCTCTCCATCGCCTCGGAAACTGGCACATGAGTTTCGCTGACCAATCCGCTAATGTTGAAAATCAATGCCTGAAGAAAGAGTCGTGGTTTCAGGAAATATACACAGTTTGGCATTGAACTTCGTTGCTATTGTGGCTTGATGTTGGAGACGCTTTTGAAATGGTCCTGTCTGCCGACTTGGCTACATGTTCGTCGGTCTAATGGAGGATATGATTACGCTTATCGCCTCTCCTATGATGTGGAATCTTGTGGTTGGTATGGTGATTGATTTAGCTGGTCTCCAGCCTGGTATATTGATTGGAAATAAATAGGCATGAAGCACAGGACTCGCCCAGAAGGCCTCTGCCTACCCTCGACGAGAGCCTCGAGCAAGCAATTCTCAGTGGGCAATTCTCAGTGACATGTTCTCGTTA